CTGTGACTCAGAGGATGGTGGAACTCCCTGGTGGCGAACTGCCTGGTGGTGAGCTACTTGGTGGCAAACTCCCTGGTGGTGAGCTACTTGGCGAGCTCCCTGGTAGTGAGCCACCTTGATGAGCTGCTAAGTGCGCTGCCTTGGTGGCGAGCTCCCTGGTGTAGTGCAACCCGATTGCCCTTTGCATGAGATGATCTGCTCCTCTTTGTAGACGGCGGGAGCCGAGTAACCTGCGAGAACTGAATCAGAGGACCCGGGGGTGTTTACTCGGCGGGCCCACTCTAATGGCTAAGTTAGCACTCTGATAGTAGAGAGCTTGAAGATGATATTAGAGAAATGAGAGAGCTAGAGATGTCCTAACAGATTTGGCATAACCGCCTCTGATTCTCTGCCGCAACCGTTATTTGCCAGGGCTGAGCTAGTGGGCATAGGTAACCATTACAGAGTACGGCTCTGCCAAACAAGGGACACATCTCAGGGCTGACAGGCACGACGCCGCTTGGCGAGAGACGTGGGCGCAGGTCTCCAGATTTGGCAGGTACGGTTGTTAGGTAGGAAATCTTCCTGCGATACGCCAATCTGCTCTGCAACGAGCTACCTTGCACCGAGCTACTTTTCATTGAGCTGCCGGTGATGTGCCGAGGTGCTTCTACTCGAGGCAGGTCTTCATAGCCTACTAGGAGGCAAGTTGTTTGTAAGACGCCAGGCTGCGTGTGGCGAGCTGCCTATGCCGAGATGCCTGTAAGTGGCGAGCTGCCTATAAGTGGCGAGCTGTCTGTAAGTGGCGAGCTGCCTATAAGTGGCAAGCTACCCATAGTGACGAGCTACCTGTAAGTGGCAAGCTGCCTGTAGGTGGCGAGCTACCTGTAGGTGGCAAGCTACCTGTAGATGGCGAGCTGCCTGTAGGTGGCAATCTGCCTGTAGGTGACGAGTTGCCTGTAGTTAGCTCGAGTTGTCTACTTGGCAAGAGGCCGCACTTAGTTGGCATGAGGTATCAGGTGTCATAATTTCACTGGAGGGCCAAATCTGCCATCATTAGGAAGAAATGTGTCATTAGGGTGTCCAAGACAATCTCCAACCCTCAAAAGTTCCTTTATACCTTCCCTCGAAAAGTTGTGTGCTTTGTTGGGATGATTGCAAATTGTTGGTAACTGTTTTGACGGTTATTGTATGCAAGGAAAACAACCAAATGTGAAACCATGTGATTTCTTCAAATGGATCATTCCAATCAATCATCCGTATGAAGTCACCTTACACATGTTCCACGACGATGGTCAAGGAGTTCGTTTAAGGGAGGTGGAGAGGTTTGTACCAATCTTTCTTCTTCAAAATTGAAAATAGAAAACAAAACATTCAAAAAACCAATCCTCTCAATCTCACTCACTCTATTTTGCCTATAGCCAAACTCACTTCGATGAGTTTCTGTGGCAAAATCAGAACCCAACCATGTTCGACAGTGAGGGGAATAATGGGCAACAAATCACAAACATCACCAAATGTAATTACACCTTACTGAAATTGAGTCTTCAAGTGAGAAGAAGAAGAAGAATCAATGTGTATCGAACTCCCTGTTTCAAAATTTAAGTTTTCTTTGCTATATTTTTCACAAAGATGATTGTTTTTCCTATCGACTTGATAGTTCAAACTATCTCCATTTATTTTTTTAGGTTTTTATTTTAAAATATAAAAAATAAGACAATCTCGACCCTTACACGCAGTTGACGTGTTATCAAATGAATGGAAGTGTATATACACCATTCCGAGTGCAGGGATATCTAGCCTCAGATTATTTAGGCTTTCTAGAGGAAATTTTATACTAATCAATGCTGACGCGGAAGGTCACACGCTAAGTGAATATAATGAAGATTTCTGAAAGTCATTATAACAAGAATGACGGTTCAGCATTAGGAGAATCAATGCTAATTCATGAGTGGGTATTGATGTATAAGGTGGAGGTATTTGATATTTTAAATTACACTTTTCCCTTATTTAATGTTCCCTGAATCATTGGAAAAGGCAATGATATCCTTTCATCTTCAACCTTGGTCACCTTCCACGGATAGGTAGCCACCTCCCGTGTGAATGGTGTTTTGGCACTATAGCTCAGGGAAATCCCAAGCTCTCTTCTCAACAACGAGACAAGGTAACATTCTAGTATCAAGTTGTTCCTTTGAAAGTCGGCATGAAAAGTTTAGAGGAGAGAGAATTAGTGAGATAGAAAAAAATTAACCAATAGAAAGTGAATGCCAAGCTATCGGAGATCCTCGATAGATTGAACACAACTACTCTGGCGGAGGAGGGTGTTCCGACATCTCTTATGGGCAGCGGTAGCTAGCCAGACGGGATCAAGCAGGCTTATCAGATGGCTCACAGACCAACTTCTAGAGGCGGCTTAAACTGCACCTACCCAGGTTCAGCGGGATGAATCCCAATGGATGGTTGATACTGGTCTGACAATATTTCCAACTGTGGGACATATCAGAAGAGCAATGAATTGATATAACCAGCCTTGGATTTTGAAGGAAAGGCTCAAGAGAGGTATTTTTTGAGTTTTCCCCCTAAATTCCTCGTGTGTTCTACCAAAATGGTGGAACTCCAAATCCCAAGAATTGGGACCTATAATACACCTTTTTTTCCCATCCCATAAATAAAAAATGGGAAGGGAGGAGTATTCCATACTTTTCCTTCCCATCCCACAAACCATTCACAGAGCCTGAATAAATAAATATAACAGACAAAAACTAGCTAGCCTAGATAAAAGGAAAAACAGGAAACAATAATGGAAAAAGTGGAAGAAATGTTTGGTTAGACGGAATTAGAATCTCATTCCCATTCCTATTGGAATGGCATTCCCCCATTTGAGGGAATGGCCATTCCCTGCCCCTCTCTTGAGAATGAAATTCCATTTCTGATGGATTCGAATTTTCATTCTCATTCCTGTTTGAACCAAACAGACTATAAGAATGGGTCATTCCAATTCTGACTGCCAAGCAGACCCTAAAAAAACCTAAACTTAAAGCTAAGATGAATCCAATCAAAGCAGCCGAGGAATATGATAACGATTTGGAAAAATTGAGCTGCGTACTTCATGCTCTCCTTGAAGTCTTGAAATAGGACAACCTAGCAGAAGATTAAACAATTAGCTCTATCCAGATTAACCGAGCCCACAAATCAATTTCCACTAAATAACCTGAATCAAAACCGAAGCCTTACTGAGATGGCTGGCTTTCACAGGAAAAACACCAGCAATCATTCAAGCACCACTCACTAATAGAAATATATCTTCCACGATTAACCTCCTTGATCAAGATTATCGAAATATCAACTTAATGAGTTGCACGTTGGATAACCAAGGTCCAATCCATCTAGTCCTTGTGGTTTAGTTAATTGACTAATTTTACCCTTACTGTTTATATATTTTCTTAAAATACCCCTAAGTTTTCTGACAATTGACATTTTTGTTAAGTATTAACAGAAAAAATAAAATGCCAAATTTACCCTCCACTATTCTTCAAATTTTCAAAATAAAACCCAACCAATTAAATTTTCAAAAACTGTAATTTGTTCCACACTTGCTGAACGACTACGGGAAGTTGCATTCGATGGTTGGACAAGAGGATTTGACCTAATTAAAAAGATCGTTGGGCATGAGGAAGGGATTCTCCCATGCTGGGATGGGGGTTTGCCACTGAGAAGTTCCAGCAAGAGAATCCCAAATGAATAGACATCAGATTTCGGGGTTTGCAATTTGTGTTCATTTTTTTTTATTTTCTAATTTTCTTTTTGGGTTATTCTACCCTTGTTTTTATTCAGATGAAAATTACCTGAGACAGCAATGAGGAAAATTAGGGAGGTTTATGGTTTTCTGTGTTTTTCTTGGGTTTGGAATTGGAGTAGTGAGAAGATTAGGAATAGGAGGTATCACAAGGAGTGAGCGAGAGATGGAACTTCGTCTTCATACCCCCGCTGTATACTATTCTTTCCTATGGTCACCTTGCTGAACCATAAAGCCAATGGAAGAAGCCTCTGAGAATGAGAGAGGGAGAGCTGAGAGATTTGTGCCGAAATGGAGAGAGAGATAAGCCTTTGCAATCAGGGGCATAACAATGAAACATGAACGGAGATAATATACCAGACAATACCATAAGCACCTCTTCCGACAGACCGTATCGGCGGAACATACTTAGTAGGAAACTCGAAAAGATTCCCATAGATATTGTACTGAATATATCGACCTCCATGATATTATTTTCTTCAGCTGAAGCAGCATCTACCTCTGCAGACATGACCGCACAGAATGAAGACTCTCAGGCAGATCAAAGAAGACGACTTTCCCTGATTTCTTCTCAGCTGAGATTCCGCTAAATTTGATTGGAGCAAATTACTTCAGGAGTTTATGGGAGAGCTATCGGTACTCTTTTATATGACGAAGAAATTTCTTGTGTTTTATCTTTTGACTTCTGAGCTTAAATGGAGGAACTTTCCATCTCACACGCCCTTGAAAATCCGTGAAAACTCCAGTTCAAATGCCACCCTTTCAATTTATTTTGCTCCTCTCCGTAGTCCTACTCTCTTCTTTCTATCGAACTCTGCATCTCGAAATCCTTGTGAACAGAGAAAGCAAGAAAAACTCCAGAAGTAGAAAGGGTATTAGTGTCATTTTGTCAAAATATAACAGTCACGTGGACGTGGTGTTACATGTGAGCGGATTGTAACGGAACTCTAACAACAGAGGAGTAATTAGTCAATTGTTAAGAAACTTAGGGGTTCTTTAAGAATATGTAAAGAGTATTACTGAATTAGCTTTAACCAACCTACCAGAGACCCCTATACAACCTCGACCCCACCTCTCTCTCTCTCTCTCTCTCTCATCAGGACCCCACCCGCTAGTGTGTGCTTACTATTACTAGTTACGAAGGAAGCTTCTTATTTTTATTTTTTTTTATGGCAGCCAAAAAGAGGGGAAAATGAAATCCATTGATTAGAACGCATGATGCATGGAAATGAAATTGGGGTAATGGGAAATGACATTTATTATTTTTTTCATCTTTAAATAACGACATTCTACAGCAGATGGCACATACAAACGTGGGCTCCCACCCCCCACCCAAAAAAGAGGAAAAAAAAAAGAACACAAGAAACAAAAAGATGGGTGGAATACTAAACCCAGTAAAAGAAGCGGAACAGATAGCTTTTCCCTCTGTGGAAGATATTTCTTCTTTTTTTTTTTTTGACAAATTAGGACATCTATGGTACACCCGCCACCTATGTGAAGATGGTGTTGGAAATTAGGAATAAAGAAAGATCAATCAAAGAATCGCATCATCGGAGCCTCAGGATGTATCAATATTCTGACTCCAACTATCAGAGGTTGGAGGAAAATGGTTAGCGACGAGAGCGACTCTGCCAAGTGAACTCCAATCCAATGCACATGCTCAATATGAAGATATACCAACCTCATGACTGCTATCAAGCAACGCGCTTCAAACTTCTGATAATTCCTCCCAAGCCTTTCCAGAAGATCTGCAAGCTTCACCCATATGAAAATGTTCAATTGCTTTTATGTCCAAACAGATTTCTCAGGCCTCGAAGGCAATATATCATCTCATTTTCGCTCTCAGAAGTTCCCCCCGGATGCCTAGTCATATGTACAGATGATTATCCCGTGTTCCCTGCAACCTCAGCAGCTCGCTGTCTCATCATCTCCATTACTGCAGCTCTCCGCCGTGAATCAGACTGCTGCTGCAATCTCCTTAAATGCTCTTTGAGATCCCTGGACAGCAACAAATAGGTCGTTGACATTTTCAAAAAGATCACAAAAGAAATTAAGCATTATTCACACAATTTCAATAGGGAAAAATTTGTAATACGCACTTGCAACGTGGTACATGGCATTCAGATTCTTTGCAAGCTCGTGCATGCAGTTGGAGTAGATACCACATTTTCTTACAGAGCAAACAACCTCCAGAAGCACGGGTTTTGCATTGTATACCGTGGCGGAAGAGTCCTTTAACCTTGCGGCAATTAGGATACTGACAATGTGCAGATCGACATTGAGAAGCATGTACAAGAAGATCAAGCATTTTCCTTAGCTGCAATAGCATACAACCACAAACGTAAGACCCACATAGAAGACAATATTTGCATGCATAATAAAGTTTTATTATATGTAAATCATGTGGTCCAATTAGAAGAAAGCAAGATGGTATATCAGCACTAGTAGATAAACTTTATGGGGTAGGGTGGGGGGTGAGAGGGACAACAACCACTTTTCGAGCAAGGCCTTCTAGGATTTTTTTGCTAGCAATCCAACCCTATTGTAACCACAGAAAGATGACCTGCCGGATCCAAAATGTGCACTTGAGAGGAATTTGGATATGCCACGTCTACCATTGTCATCCTTATATCGACCAATAAGAATTTAATTTTCCGCATGAGAGCCAACGAAAACAAAATTTTCTACCAAAAGAGAAGGCAAACAATTGTCACATTGAATATGTTTGAAAGTTGTGGATCAGCAGGGCAACAATAACAAGAGCACCTCAAGATGAACCATCACATCTCATCATCATCCAACCTTGTCCCAACTATATGGGCTTGGCTATGTAAATCTTGTTCAGCCATTCTGTGCTGTCCGGTACCATACCTATTGTTAAATATTGGGCCTTTAAAATCATTTCCCATTACCCCCCTCCCCCTCAGCTTGTCCCTAGGCCTAACTTTGAGCTTTTGTTAAATTGATGGGAGTTATTGAGCAAATTCCAATGGTCAGAGACCGGCAAAGATTGGTAGCCTCATCACTATTTCAACTGGGGCAGTCTTATGGGCTTATTACAATGGACCGATTGGTACTGCGAGTGCTGCAAAAGCTGAGGTGAGGACTTTATTCGTTGGGTTAAAACTGGTTGTCTGCATTCAGGCTACCGCTTTAGTAGTTGAGGGTGACTTGAGATTCAAGACGAGAAACTTATTTGGTGGGCCTCAAACCTGGATGCAGGGCCTTGGAGAATGGCCCATCTGGTGAATGAAATTCGAGATCTCTCAGGCTTCCTCTCTTGCTTATACAGATGTAATTCCAGGGAACTGAATGTAAAGGCTTATTCCTTCGCTAAATCGGGGGTGGATAAGATTTTTCTGTATACACTAACGCCATGTCTTCGAAATTGAGATCCATTTAGATATTTTTTATTTGTATATCCTCTCATGCATGCCTCTCTCCCTGCTGCATATTAATGGATGTTACCTTCTCTCAAAGAATAAAAAAAAAAACCTTCCTGCCCTTTTAACTTGCAACTTATCACTTCTTACCAATGCAGTAAATGGTCTCTGCACATGCCCAAACCATCTTTGAAGTTATTTTATCACCTATTGGAGCTACTCCTAAATTCTTTCAAATAAGTTCATTTTTTTATCCATCCTATATGGTTTTCTAACTCATCCATCTCAACATTAACATCTCTACCCTACTCGTTTTTTCTGGACATGTTTCTTGATTGCCCAACACTCCATCTGGTATTGTTCACCTTATACCCATTTAATAAGTTTTTCCTTTTAGACAAAGTGTTGTTCTCCCATCACATAAAACTCCAGGCGCACCTCCTCCATTTTTCCCAGCCTGTTCTAATTCTAGGGCAGCATCTTCCTTAATCCCTCCCTTGTTATGGATTAGCAAACTAAGGTTATGGAAGATGAACTATCATATCTATAACACCATAAACATGTAATAGTCACAGTTATCCCATAGAGATCATGGCATACAAAACTTGATCAAGATCAAGCAAGAGCTATAAGCACCATATATAGAAGGGGATTTATGAATTGAAGGCAGCAAAATCTCCATTGCCAAAAAACCAAAACAAACAACCATCTTTTTGGTAAAAGTGTGAGGAACTAAACCAGACAAAAATTTTTAAGAAAAAGAAAAATACCTGTAAAACACGTTTCTGCCGAGCTTCTTTGTTTTGTGCATCACGATCAGCCATTGATGGATGATTAGTCAACTTATGAGGATGGCTAATACCTCCATCTTTTTGGTAACAAGCATTGCATACATCATAATCAGGGCAGATTTCACAGCGCCATCCTTGACCAGCCTCAATGTCATGATGGCAGATGTTGCATGTAGTAACAAAAGCAGGAGCAGTTGGATTGTGAAGATGATATAGGACCATCATAGAGGAATGCTTGGCTCGGCGTAGAGTATCATACTGATAATGGTTTCCTTGACAAAGACTCAGGAATGCCTGCCTGGTATCAAAGAATTCACTCTCAAGAATTTCATCTTTATCTTTCGTATCTGCAGGTACATCATTCACTTCCACCTGCATAAATTTCTCAAATCAGAGATAATTCTAGCCAATGCCACAAGTTTCACCTTGTTTTGAATTAGGAACGAAAAAAAAATATTAGGAGTTCCTTGTATATTATCAACTTCAACCAAAGTATGATATTAGAAGTCCAGTGCAACTGAAATAGTAGGGTAGATCTTAACAATAAAATAGAAGTATTTATAGATTTTTAACATTTATCCAAGAATAAATTTTTCATCTAGAAACTCACAGGGTAAAGTGTGTGTTTCTCCCTACTATTACTAGGATGTCTATCCCTCTCTTCAAGTTTTTGTTCTGCATCATGACACCTACAATGAAGCGTAAGAAAAAAAAAAAAAAACATTAGATCCCACATTTAATCCACATGAAAACAAATCCAGGTAAATATGGCATCTTTTTCTCAATCTCTATAAAGATGATGGCAGAATACGACCTTGATGATCAAAAGGTAAACCAATAAGCATTTATCAAGCAACAAAAATATGCTTTACCAGTTAGCTCTGATAAAAAAAAAAGGAGAGAAACAGTCATTATTACTAGTGCACATATAAAATTATAAACTTAACAGGACTACTTGAAATAAAATGCTGGATGTATCACTTCAGTTAAAATCATTCCTGGATTGCTATGAGATGAAATGTGAAGAAAAGAGAAAATGCCTCTACTGTGACATAGAAATAAACTAGACAAAAAAAAATAGTAGTATTTAATATTGTATATTATTTATAGCAACAGGTTTGACATAGTGTCACCAGTATGGGAGTGGTGTTGAGATTTGTCCAGCATTTCATCATCATCATCATCATCATCAAAGCATTGCTCTGCCATTCTATTCCACCCAGTGTCATATCCATTGTTAAACTATGTGCCCCCAAACCATTTCTCACTACTATTTGTCTAACATCTCTACACCAAATATTTCCTAATTCCATAGAAAATGCATTGCTTCATCTCAAACCATCTATGTTGTTATAATCTGTATCTCCTCTTTTTTAAGCATATTGATTCCAGTCAAGTGGAGGACCAAAAAGGTTTCTTCCTTTGAAGATGGTCGCAAGTGTTAATTCTTCCCAAGACTATTTCCCAGCACAGCGACCCAACACTTGGCAGAACCGGTTCCCCCATACTTCCTTAACCGGGAAAGAAGTTCCAGGACTAGTAGTAGGTTGTAGGAGGGCTTTGAAGGAGGCACATGTAAAGGAACTAGAGGAGAGGGCCCATATCCGAGAATCCAACTTGGTTGAATCCAAGACAACTTTTTGAAGAATTTGATTCAAAGTCAAAACATTGTCCACATCTGATCCTCTGACTCCCCTTCTAAAACCCAAGTCCCAATCAAGTTCAGGCCCAAGACCAGGGGAAGATAGGAAAGTGGATATAGGCTTTCTTTTATGAATAATTTAAGTTTTATTAATAGACTCTATGTAATCTTTACAAGCATCCCTTTGAGAGGCACGAGCTGCTACCTCTCATACAAAAAGAAAAAACACATTACAATTGTGCCCTGAATAACATGGATCTATTCACCCCTTGCTTAGACTCAAGATACTTTAGCCATTCTACCACCACTTTCGAGTTCCCTTCAATCACCACATTTGTCAAGTTTAGCTCACTGACTATCTACACCCCTTGAATTGCAGAAAGCAGTTCCACTTTGAGGGAGTCACCCATACCAGCAGGGCCAGAAAAAAGTGTTATGGGTTTACCTTCTCCATCTCTCAAAACCCCTCCAATTGCATAAGTGCCTGGATTACCTCGGCTACTCCCATAAAAATTCAGTTTAACAAAACCTTCAATTGGTGGTACCCAGACCATCTCCACTTTGCCCTTACTCTTAAGAGCTCTTAGCAACTACTTCCCAATTCCTCCAGATATCATCAAAGAAGAACTGGAAAAACAGCTCCAAAGTCTTAATCCAGTGGATCACCCTAACCATCACACAAGTCCTGATTCCTTCCTTGCTTCTCTCCTTCTCTGAGAACATTCAAGCATTCTTCTCTTCCCGGATAGGCTTATTTTTGTATCTGGAGAGGGAAAATAATGATGAAATTTGATTTTTAAGTGGTAAGTCCCCTACCCACACATGTTCCCAAAACCTTTACCAAGCTCCCAGAGCACACGGTATACCTAACAAAGGGTAGAAAAAAAACAAAAGGATAGCATGAATAGGTTTCCAAGGTACCACACTAGTTGCACAATTTGAGACTCCCGCATCCCAGCCATCAGCTGCCAACCCATGGATGCTTAAGATCACTTTTGTCCACAGTTTATCCTTACCCCTTGGCAATCTCCATAACCATTTTCCTAACAACACCATATTCCTCCTTTGGATGTTCCCAATCCCTAAGCCACCATATTTCTTGCTTCTACTAACCACTTCCCAATGATCTAACGCTATGGTCCTTCCTCTCCTCTCTGAGTTCCCACAAGAAGTCCCTCATTAACTCTATAGACTTCTACAAATCCTAACAGGAATCTTAAAAACTAACAAAAAATAGATGGGCAAATTAGCCAAAGTTGACTTGATCAATGTTATTCTTCCCCCTAGTGAGAGATAGTTCCTTTCCAAGAGACTAAATCTTTTTGTAAACCTGTCCACCACCGGGTTCCAAAAAGCCACATTTCTCGGGTTCCCTCCCCCAATGTAATCTCAGATAATTCATTGGCCATTGGAAAACATCACAGCCCAAAATATCTTTGGTTCTTGCATTGCTAGTTTGAAGTGGTTTCAGGTTTGGAAGTCAATTTCTCTACAATTGAGATAATAGCAATTGGGGAAATTCCTAATTTACAGGTCTTAGCAGAAATTTTGGGATGCAAAACAGGTAGCTTCCCTTCAAAATATTTGGGATTACCTTTAGGAGTAAAGTGCAACTGAAGAAGCATATGGAATCCTATTCGTGGAAAGCTAGATATCTTTCCAAAAGGTGGAAAGATGATTTTAGTTAAGAGTGTGTTGGCCAGTCTTCCATCTTTTTACATGCCCCTCTTCTTAATGCTTTCAGAGGTGGCAATGAAAATAGAAAAGAAGATGAGGGATTTTTTGTGGCTAAGATGGAAGGATTCCTCTAAATACCATATGGTGAATTGGGATGAGATCTCTAAACCTATTTCTCAAGGTGGGCTGGGATAAAAAAGGTGAAAATGTTCAACAGCTCTTCTAGGGAGGCTGGTTCTGGAGATTTTCTAATGAACCACAGGAGTTAAGGAGAAGAATAATTGCTGAAAAATAGGGTTTCAGAAACAATGGATGGGATGCAGTGGTTCACTTTTGTCTTATGGGTGCAGCATTTGGAAAGGCATTTACAGGGCATATCCCCATTTCATCAAGGGTATTTCTTATAAAATTGGAATTGGAAGCAGGTTGAGGTTTTGGTTCAACCCATGCTGTGGTGACATTTTTTTATCAGTAAGAGAAAGATTTTATTAATATCAATATCAAGTATTACAAAGGTGGAAGTTCCACCCTAGAGACACTCTAGAAATTATAATTTTGCCCAAAACATTTGGTGTCTCACTGTCCCTTGTTTGGCCAGTACATCTGCCATCCCATTTGCCGATCTTCTCACCAATTGAAGACAACATTTAGCTCCCGTGATATGCTTACTATCAGTGTTTTAAAAGCGCAAGGCGCAAAAAAGGCGCAGGGGTCAATTTGCGCCTGAGGCGCAAGGTGAGGCGCACCTTTTTTAAGCAAGGCGCAAAACAATGCTAAAAAATAAAAAATAATCAAAAATGTCAAAAAATGCAAAAAATCAAAAAAAAATATTAAACATAATATTAATAAAAATGTAAAATTTAATTTTAAAAAACATATTATCTAATATTAAAATACATAAATATAACATGTAAAGCATATTCAAATGAGAATTTAAAAATAAAATCAAATATATATATATATATATAACATTTTCAAGCATATAAAACCCACAATCTCTTTTTTTTCTCAATTGCAATACTTCAAGTAGTTAATGTGATATAAAACATATTACATTCCTGATTCTACGAGCCGCCTTTGTACCACACCCCTTGAGCAAGGCGAGGTGCACGCCTTTTTTAAGCAAGGCGCAAAAAAATGCTAAAAAATAAAAAAAAAATAATCAAAAATCAAAAATGCAAAAAATCAAAAAAATATTAAACATAATATTAATAAAAATTTAAAATTAAATGTTTTAAAAAACATATTATCTAATATTAAAATACATAAATATAACATGTAAAGCATATTCAAATGAGAACTTAAAAATAAAATCAAATATATATAACATTTTCAAGCATATAAAACCCACAATCTCTTTTTTTCTCAATTGCATTACTTCAAGTAGCTAATGCGATATAAAACATATTACATTCCTGATTCTACGAGCCACCTTTGTACCACGCCCCTTGAGACAAGCCCAAACAAGTCCACATTAGGTCTTAAATTCTTAGTTCTCACACAAAAAATAATGATTTTATAGTTTTAATTGCTTTTTAAGAAGACATTTTGCTAGGATGAATGAATGAACAACATTACCAACATATTACATTCGAGAACTCCCTATTTGGTAATGTTGTTTATTCATTCATCCTAATAAAATGTCTTCTTAAAAAGCAATTAAAACTATAAAATCATTATTTTTTGTGTGAGAACTAAGAATTTAAGACCTAATGTGGACTTGTTTGGGCTTGCCTCGAGGGGTGTGGCACAGGGGTCCAAGGGTGGAGCCCCCGGCCCAGCCGCTAGACACAAAAAAAGCAAAAAAGCGTCAAAGTTTCAAAAGGCGCATGCCTGGGCTGAGGCGCAAGGCGCACCAGGTGCACTAGGTGTGCGCCTTTTGAAGGGGCCTAGGACCTGGGCGAGGCGCCTACCCTGAAATGCGCCTCGCCTAGGCGCGCCTTTTAAATCACTGCTTGCTATTTCCCAAAAAGTATCTCTATAAACCAATGGAACTTGGGAGCTACCTCTTGTCCAAGAAATGACCACCTGAGTCCCCTTCCACCTCCAAGTTGTGGAAACCGAATTGCTTTGCAAATTTTAGCCCATGGAGCAATCCAAACAACTCTGCTTTCAATGCATTACCATCTGTTAATGGTCCTGAGTACAAAGCTAGTACCTTTCATTCCGAGTCCCTGAAAACCCCTCCCATCCCTGCCACAACCTGACTGCCAATGTAACTCCCATCAAAATTGAGTTTGACAAAGCTGATTGTTGGTGGCTTGATCCACTCCATATTTACTCTTTCCTTGGCTTGGGCCGAAGAAGCCACTTCCTTCCAGGTTCTCAATATGTCATTTGTTGAGAAACCATGGAAATTCTCCATGGTTTTCACCCAGTGTACAACTTTAATTTTTACCACCTCCACGACTTCCATTTCTGACCTATTTTTTCCATGATGTGGTGACATTCCATTAAAGAAAGGTTTCCCTTATCTATTACGGCTGAAGATATTCAGGCTTCTGTTGCTGATTGCTTTGAACAGGAGGGCTGACTGGCTGAGGGCGACAAATAGTTTAGTCTCCTGTTTTCAGGAGAAATTTCAATGATAGGGAGTTGGACCAGGTGGTAGAACTCCTTTATTTGCTTCAAAACCAACACCTACACTTGAGGGCTGAGGACTCTAGATGCTGGAAGTGAGCAAATTCTGGTAGCTTCTCAGTTAGAACCTGCTATTTGGGTCTCCTTGGAGCTGTTCAGCAGCCATTCTCCTTCAAGACCATTTGGAGAGTACATCTCTTCTAAAAGTCAAGTTCTCTTGGGTGGTTGCTAAGGAGAAGTGTCTCACCAACAAAATGCTGCTGAGAAGAGGTTTTACCTTACTAGACTTGCTTTGTCCTTTGTGCAATCTGGAAATTGAATCTTCGAATTAGCTGTTCATTCATTGCAATTTCTTGGTCGAGGTTTGGCAGCATTTTCTCAAGGCAATTAATCTAAGCTGGTGCTGGCCAGAGACAGCCATGGAGTTGTAGTAGCATTGTTTTTTAGTCCTATTTGGTGTGGGACTTTACAAGAGCAGAGTTGTTAGCAGTCCTAAATGGAATCAGGATGGCAAAAGGTGATTCTCGTACAATAGCAAGCTGGCTTAGAAATGTAGGCAAAGGTACTTGGTAATAGACACACCTTGAGGGAAATCAAGAATAAGGCAATGGAGGTTGTTATCTCAATCACATGGATACCTACATCAGCAAATTCCTTGACTGATCCACTTGCAAAATAAGGGGCAAGAAGGGAGGAAATATATTGGGTATTACAAATGAAAATTAGTTTGTAGCAAGTATAAATAGTGATAGAGGGAGGGCAGATGAACCAGCCTTATAAAGGAAAAACATATTTGTACATAATAATTTTATATAGTACACTTTGATCATCAATAATGTAAATGTTATAAATAAAATAAATTTTAGCAAATTGAATGGAATGACTAATGGATTGACTAAACTATGAATTAACAGGGATCAACTTCTCTTGTTAAAACATAATGTATAGTAGTAAGGGATAGGAAGAGATCCATCCTTTAGATTGGATTTTTCAATCAGTGTACCATATTACTCTTTTTAACTAACAGCAATAAAGAATTAAGGTTACCTACAAAGGAAAAAAAAATAGTCCTGTGGGACAATAGGCCTAAGTTTTCCAAGATAAGGTGGACCAAGGCACAGGCTATCTTTGGGCTTTGGCTATTATCTTCTATATAGGACTGAAAAAAGCATGTATTATTTGAATAATATGTTCAATGTACATATACACACATATAATACAATTTTTTTAAACATGTCCAGAAATCCTCATTAGCCAAGCTTGTCAAGTCAGACTCCTGAACATGCATCAGATTCTGATTTTGCTGTCCAAGTCAATGCAGCACTAGTTGGCAACCAGGCAGCCAGAAGAATGCCATGGAATATAAATATGTAATTAATAACTATTATGAGGCAATTTCTATGATGCCAAAAACGTATGACACCAGAAGAACTTTGACAAGAAACTCCCTACTGATTTTTTATGAATACCAGTTGATATGAGTTTTGATTTGTAATGAGCTTTTCAAGTATCATGCCCTTTCAGTATCATAGTGAGATTCCTGTAATTAACATCAATAGATATCCCAAGAAATTGGAGCGTGGAAAAAAATATAGGTAAGATGAAAGAATGCTTACTTATCACAAAGCTGAAAATTTTTGCATTGACTGCAAACCCAACGATTTCCAGATACCATTAAATGACAACAACGAGTGCATGCATGCTGCAGATGAACCATTATAAAATCTTCCTTCATTGGACAGATTGTTTCCCCAAGCTGTGGAAATGACAAAATTGCATTAGTGAAACAGTAGTAAACTAGTACATCTGAACAAACAAAAGTTTGTAATTGTAATCAAGTAATGAAGTGAAGTCAATCCAGATCAAAAAGAAAATAACAATTACCAAACATAAACAACTTATTAATATAACATGAATGAAACTATATTAAAGGAGTTCCAAGAGAGAGAGAGAGAGAGAGCATGGATAACAAAATTACTTTTTGCATTAGTAAAAGATCCTTAGAGGCATTGGCTGAAAGATCAGATTGGCCAGCAGCTTTCAAAGCCCTCTTTGTTATAGTCTTTTTGGTTTTTCCTTTCTTCTGCTGCTTACCATCTTCTTCCTGACGGAGCTGATTGATCATATCCTCCGCAGCACCAGGCCAGTAGTCACCATCAAAATATGGCAGACGAGATGCAGTTACCTTAGCTTTACATTCACCCATTTGTACAAAGAAATGGTCATATAAATTAGTGAGGTCAACCACAATGTTTTCCTTCGCAGCTTTCCTCAACATTGCTAAATACCTGAGAAAAGGTAGCCATGAATCAGTTCAGGAAAACTAAATTAATAACACTCATAGTTTTGGATAATCAGATTTTGGGTTATCGAACATACCATTCCCTAAGTTTATCAGATTTTGGTGTTTTCTGAATTTCAGGATGGCAATATAAAATATAATCTTCACCCTTCAAAGGAGGGCAAGCCCAAATATAGCAGCTTGTGAAACCACGCTTCTTGCAATATTCAAGGTATCCTATCTGAAAGAGAAATACACAACATCAAAAAGAACCCAACAAAAACCAGCCATACGCAAACTAATTAAGCTACTAATATTCAGTAAAATTAATTGAAGGCCAAAGGGCCAGAACTTACAAGAATTTCATGGTAAACAAATGTTCGAAGAGCCTCCCCAGTAACTGTTTTAACTTCAGGCCGGAAGTATTTGACAGAATCTAGATAGGAAAGATAAACACGGCGCTGATTTGGCAACTGGCATTCTGAACCAAATTCCTGGACATACATTCCAAAAAGGCATACTTCTACACCTTCGATCTTCTGAAACAACAGAATTACCTGGAAGAAGAATTTGTAAGTTCGTAATCTTTAAAGATTTTCAATGATGGACAAAGTAGCTAGTGACATGATTGTTGATAAAGAAAAAAAAAAAAAAAAAAACAAAAGATGAATTAAAAAAAAAACAATTGAAGGGCAATGCCATGAGTTTCCAGATACCACCAATCAGGTCATTTTCTGCATTGGAGCAGAATTTGGTAAGTGCATATTTTAAACCTTCTATTTCTGCATTATTTTCTGAACTACAAAATTCCACAGGGGTTGGTCACTTAGAATACTGGAGAATGAGTTAGTGGTGTAACAAAATTCCCCATGATTATACGCAGCCATAGCAGAAAAAGTACAAATACTTAATCCACTATCAAAGCATAGGAGAGACCAAGAAACAAATAGTTGTCAGGCTTAATAGAACATTTCATGATATATAAGAGGGTGCAACAACATTTCATGATATATAAGAGGGTGTTATAACACCATAACACCATCAATGTTGTATGGACTAGAATGTGGAAACTCAAGTAACAACATGGACAAAAAATGATCGTGGAAGAATACAACTTCTTATTGTATTAAGTTTTAATGAAATTCTTTGAGTTGCTGATCCAAAAAAAAAAAAAAAAGATTGATGAGTGAAGGGAAAAAAATGGAAAGTACAGTGTAAAAAACGAAATCATTTGAAGGAACCTAGGAGTAGCTCTAATAAGTGATAAAATGAGAGAAAGTAGACTAAGATGGCTGGTCACGTCTACAGCTGTAAAACAGGCCGTGTTGGGTCGGCATGGCATGGCCCACGACCCGAGCCCGCGCGTGCCCGTGCTGTGCCATGGGCCGAGCCTTAGGCCATGTCGGGTCGTGGATCAGGCCAAAGCTATTATTTAAAATAATTGAAACAAATATTAAATTTTTTATTTTATATGAATTTTGATGTATACAATTGCTTATTTTATTAATATATTATATACTATATATTATTATATAATTATAATTTATATTAATATATAAATATATATATGGGTCGGGCCGGCTCAAAATCGTGTTGGGAGTGACACGGCCCGATTTACACCTCTAGTCACGTCCAGAGGTCATCTACAGTTCCTATAAAAAGTACTACTAACAAGGCTTAGATGATGATAATGGTAATGATGAGAAAGATAACAATGGAAATCCCCCCCCCACCCTTTTTGAGTAAACATGAAGTAAAATTTATTGATGGAAATGGGTAGCAATAAAACACCACTGACAGGAGCTCAAAGCAACAGAGCCCCCATATTGATACTGCAAAAAAGTGATTTCCTATGGTCTCCTCCAAGTAGGCCTTCTATCAAGGAGTTTGCTGATCTAGAGATGCAAAATAAGTTATGGTAAATTATTTACATCTAAATCTAAGAAAACTAGACAAATAATATTCCCTTACTTCATGACTAAAACCAATGTTAACCCAGAGGCCAAACCGTTTTTGCCTCATGGTCGCAGGTCACCAGTTTGACCATGACACATCAGCATGTGTATATAAAGGGCAGCCCAGGCCCCAATGCACAAGGCTCCTACCAATGCAAGGTCTGCAGAGGGACAGATTACACAGCCTTACCCTTGCACATACAAAGAGGTTGTTTCCAAGATCTGAACCCTGGTCACCCAAGTCGCAATGGATGTATGTGTATGCGTATAGGTCGCAAATCTTGGTCACCCTAGTCACCCAAGTCGCAAGCATGTGTATACAATATATATAATTACCTATATACATGTATTATGTATATGTATGAGTATATATAGGCATGTACTATATCAATAAGAACAACGTATAATTATATTCAATGTTTTAACACACAGAGGCGTGACGTGAGGCGTTTCACTACCTAGAGGTGTGAGGCATAGTTCAGAACGTAAGAGGCATAAGCCTCCTTAAGAGGAGGGGGATGAGGAGGAAGGGGAAGAGGAAGAGGAAGAAGAGGAAGGATGATCTCTTTTTTTTTATTTTTAATAAAAATCTTTTATATTAAAAAGAATGAAGATAAATAGCACTAGTAGAACCAAGAGATCCCCGGCCCACTTTCTTTCCCCATATCTATTCCTCCCTTCCCTTTCTTTTTCTTCTCTTTCTTTCTTTTTCTTCTCTTTCTTTCTTTTTCTTTCCCTTCCCTTACCTTCCCTTTTTTCTTTTTTCTTTTTTTGGGTCTTTTTTTATGAGGTCTACAACTGTGCATGAGGCATATGCCTCATGAAAAAAACGTTTGAGGTGTACGCCACCCACGCCTTTTAAAACACTGATTATATATTCTACACATAATAAATGTGTATATTAAGTACTATTTTATGTTTTCTCAATTCTGTTTTTAATTTTTTTTTATTTGTAAAAATGCTAAAAATTGCTATTTGAAGCCAAAAAAGGGTTTTCTAGCGAAAATAGCAAGGCAAGATGCCTTTGGTGCCTTGGATGCATAGATCTTGAAAAGCTACCCAAAATAAATTTAAAAAAAAAAAGATAACCCCAAATTCCCAATCGGACATCCGATCACAAAGTTATACATTTAATGTGCAACACTTGACCCAGTAATTGGGTCGATGGTTCAACCACCCGGGTCAGACGGTTTGTGGCCAAGTCAATGGTTTTGACCAAATTCTAGGTTATAGGGAAACCGGACCCAGAATCATGGCAGGGTGATGGTTTGACCGTCCACGCCAACAGCAAGTTGAAAACATTGACTAAAACAAGCAAACCCAAGTACCTTTGATTTGTATGGAAATTCAGTTGGATAATTATCTTCTTGGAAGATCTCTAGAAAGCGTGGCTTCACTTCCAATTTTTTGTCAACTGATGATACAACTCTGATAACAAGTGCTTCAGCTCCTGGAACCTGGCAATGCCAAACAACAATCACCTTAATACACTAAACAAGGAGAAATCAAAATGTAATACCTTAAAAAAATCACAGGAATCCTTCAAATGAACAAGAAAAGGGAACAAATCAACTGAAGAATCCAATTAAAAATTTCAACTAGAACAAGCTGTATACAAGAAAGAGGAATACCAATCTAAACCTCTTACCAGGAGAGAAAACAAAAGAAGAAACCCTTATAGCATTTACCCATATAACAAAAATACATATATAGACAAAAAGGCAGACCTCTCTCAACACAAGAAACCAGAAAACATGGCAACATGGCAAGCCTATTAGCCTACTTATTGAAGCAGCAAACATCAGTAAGAAGTATGCATGGCATTACCATTCTCCTCAGTAATACATCCCAAAAATACTCAACAAAAGCAAGACCAGGCACCAAGACTTGGCACAAGTTGTAAACAAGTGTCACACACATAACACACAACAACTATATGGGGTTGGCTACATGAATCCTGTTTCACCATTCTGTCCTGTTTAATGTCATATCTATTGTTAAATTATGAACGCTTTAATCATTTAATTACTACTTAAACCCATGTCCTTTTTGGTCTACCCTAGCCCTTCTAGTCCCTTCAACATGCAATAGATCACTTCTTACAGGTGTTGTCAATGGTCTTCTATGCACATGAATGAACCATCTTAGTCTACTTTCCTCATTTTATTACCTATTGGAGCCACTCCTATGTTCCTTCAAATGACTTCATTTCTGACCCTATCCTCCCTAGTTTTTTCCATTCATCCATCTCAGTATATGCATTTCTACCACACTAATTATTTTTTTGGAAATGATCCTTGACTTCCCAACATTGATCCTATCACTGACCTTAAAACTGTTTATATCATCATCATCATCATATAAGCCTTGTCAGAACTATATGGATCGCCCACAAGAATCCTGGTTCACCATTCCATTGTGTTCAGTGCCATATCCATCATTATACATACAAACACACATGCACCCACACAGATTTCCACTGTTGTGCATACTGAACCATCATCAAATTATTGTCTAAAAGCTTCATTCCCACTTCCACCTCTTATCAGGCTCCCCTTCTCATGAGTCATGACCAAGCAATCACTTAGGCTCAGTTTGGAAGGAGTACAAATGCAAATTTTTTGCACTCTACAAATTTGCATTTGTACTCCTTCCAAACTGAGCCTTGGTGGAAAAGGAATCGAACAAGCAATGACAACCAGGAGGTGGGCTTGGAAGCAACCATCTTTGAAGAAAGCATGACAGCTCACCGGTCTAGCTCCATGGCACTGAAAATGTATCAGAGCTCAAACCATAGGCAACAAACCTTGACCTCAATTCCAATACAACCACCCTAATCACTGTACCCCCTACCACTGCTTCTTCCATCCTTGTATATATTTTGATCAGTAAGTGTGAAATTTCATTAATATATAGATAGATATAGATAATAGATAATTAGATATATGCAGAGCATGCAAGATCTATGCAATAATAAACAGATTAAATTGGAACTTGAAATTGAACAAAACAGATACCATTGCAACCTTGAGGAAAAAGCATGCAAGATCTATGCAGAGAATCAGGGCCCAACAAAAAGTAAAAAGAAGCACACAAAAGTGGCAAACAAAAAAAAAATGGCCACATCTAACACCTCATACAATGGGAACTACCAACTATTACCAAAAAAACATGGAAAACTTCTTACTTTTTCTTCCCTTTTGGATAGAGATAAAAGACCCGATCATTAGTTACAAACTTAACAACTATAATACCAAAGAAGTCTTAACTAAGAAAACACCACAGAAGATTAATAATAATAAATCAAGCTGAGAAATAACCTCATCAAAATTCTTCCCCAAAAGCCTTGCTCTCTCTTGTCTCTCCTGCTTTAGTCGCCTGAAGAGTCGCTGTTCTATGTGGTCACTAAGGATTGTTCTAGGTAAATCTTTTGCACCAAGAACAGCACTTTGTGGTAAAGGTTTACGTTCTCCCTTTTCAATCTCTCCTATGTAGCAATTAGGACAGGTATATTCAGCCTGCCCTCCATCATTCCTTCGACCATTAAAAAGGGCACAGATTTGATGTTGCCAAGCTTCACACTTATCACATTGAACCCACTGCAGGTAAAGATAAAAGGTTATAAATCTGTGTAATAAATAAAAATCAAACAAGAGAATGTACAGGATTTAACCATTCTTCATTTCTTTTTTTGTTTTTTTTCTGTGAAAGAGTAACAAAAACATAGAGAAATAAAAAGGATTTACCCATTCTTCAGTTTCTTCATCGTTTCTCTTCTTCTCTAGCTTTGCCTTCAGAATAGGAGTCCCATCAACCTCAATAGTGTCACCACGGGCCTCATTATAGCATGGAATACAGAAGTAATGGCGTGTATCACCAGTTCCCACAGTATAATACATTGCATTCCGTTTGATGCGAGCACCACAGGGAGTGCAATATATAGGTGGAGGTTCAAAAGTAAGTTTCTCCACTGCACATAACTGGCAAGAATTCTCACTCATAGAATGTTCCATTGCCTGGTTTTTCTCAGCCTTTGCTTTACTCTGAGAAAGAGAATTTGAACGAGCATTAGCCATCATTACAGGGACATATACTAAAGCAGGCAAAAAACCTTTTTATCAATATGGTAGGAAAAACATACAAGTCAATATAAGTCTGGCAAAGTACCATATGCATGCCTAGCAAGTAGCAACTGATTAAAATATATAGTGAAGAACAAAGGCCGTCCTGTTAATATATATTATGGACTTGTGAGGGGTGGGGAAGGCAATATCTGCCAGGGAGTACCATAACTAGCTTTAGTGCATTTATTTGGGTGAGAAATACGATAAAACCATAAATGTCAGCATGCATACAAAGGTGAAGAAGCATCAAAAGAACTGGCTTGAGTCTTGCCCCTAATGACAGGAACAATGAATATAAACACAGAATTACGGAATAAGCATTCCAACAAAAAAGATAATAACACAGATCATAGGAACGAACCACTCTTAGGACCAGGGCAAGGCTTGCCTAAAGTGCCAATGCACTTTGCAATTGATTAAATTTGAAAGATAACAAGGTTGTGGAACAAATAAAGAGTGTATTTGGGAAATGCCTAGTTTTGGGGCTCTATTGTAATATACTTTTATAATTGTTATATTGTTAGTAGGTTGAGCTTGTGACTGGTTTGTAATGGCCCTGCTGTCTATCCTGGACAGTTTTGGGTTTTTCCATGGCACTCAAAAAATATATCGTTACTTATCAAAAAAGAAGAACAAGGTTGTGGAACTCCCTCCAATTGTAAGCTCGCTCACCATGTGAGATGTGACACACAACAAATAAATAATTTTTTATTAAAACAAACAATATGTGCCATGTCTAAGAAAGGTCACTACCCAATGCTGGTACTATTATAGACCTTGGGAGGGGCGGACTAAATAAAAACCTATCCTCTGACATTTTTAGCATGAAGTGACCACTCTTAGACTCAAACCTGCGTTATCATGTTTGTCAGCCTGAGATTTTACCACCACACCAAGCAATGGCCCCTGATCTGTGTCATGTATCTTCCTAAAAAAGTGTATGCATTAAACAAATGCCCCAAAAAGCTTCCTTCTTAAAAAAAAAAAATCAACAATGTATATCATGCATTTGCCTCACTAAATGTTGGCTATAAATGTAGCTAGAAAAAATGAGAGCAAATGATAGAAGCAACTTGGCATTAGGAGCCCATATGCTTACCTGGCCAACCCACTGTCTAAGACCTATAATATGCTCCCGGACCTGCTCCGGAGTAAAGAGTTCAGTCAATGATACCCCCTTTATTTTTGGTTTCCCTGACTTGGTTCCAGCCACATTTTCAGACGTTACTGTAGAAGATTCCTGCTTCTTTTCCTGCTTAACTTGATTGGTTTCTTTCTCAACATCCATGTTTTCTGTCTTAGTAAGACCAACGGGTTCATCAATAATGACAGGTCCAACATCTGACTTAATATTGTAGCAATCATCTGAATTATCTTTTTTTATCTCACACAAATTAGGAGAACATCCTTGTCCAGAACTTAGAGATGAATCCATCTTCATTTCTATGATCTCAGATTTAACAGGAATAGAATTGTCAACTTGTTGCCAAACTTGGGGTTGTGAATCCTGTGGAACAAGTAGTTGGCTCATTGGAGACACTGGCCGTGGGGAACCTTCACCCTTGGGTGCAACAGATGGAGAGTGATGCTCCATCTTCATTCGTTTAATTGATGACTGTAAATCTTCTGAAATTTCACCGGCCGATGAGCTAGTCTTTGCAGTCAATCCAGCAGCATCTCCATATGCTTTGCAAGAGCCATTTATCTGATTAGATAAACTAGTATCTGACAAAGGGCGAGATCGTGCCTTACGATATGATCGTAAATAATTGTTGACAGGAACACAAACAGGACAATCAGGTCCCTTGCAACTTTTGAAATGTTGAACCAATCCCTTGGTAGGATGGCAGCGAGGATATGAGCATTGATGTATATTGCACTTCACCATATGCCTCCACAACTTTTGTGCAGTTATGCAATGAACTTCTTGGCATTTTCCTTCAGGAGCTGAACATCCACGTGCATGCCACAAGAATAGCAACCACCTCTGTTGATTCCACCACTGTCGTTCAATGGTCGCATTCCCTGGTTTGCAGGAACCACCTAAAGCAGGGCGTATTGCCGTGCCCTTAGGAAAAATTGTTTGACCAGTAATACTTCCTTCTGTAGATGGATGAGGTCGCTGAGCTTCATCTTGTCCTATTAGACGTTGATGGAACTCCTCTTGGATATGCTGCTCATGTGAGGAGTTTTCAGTCATGTGGGACTTCTGTGACTGAGAATGCCACTGGCCCTGCAGTTGTGGTTCTACATGTGGTCCAGCAGAAAGACAACTAAAATCATTTTGTGTCTCTGCAACTTGCTGGTTTGGATGCAACATTCGTGGCATTAGCTGTGAACTATTTGACAAGGATGAGTAGCAATCTGTTGGTCCAGATGTATTGGGGAGAAACTGATCAGATCTGGAACTGTCTTCAGAAGCATTATGCTGAAATTGAATCTGTAGCTCACCAAGTTGCAAATGCTCAGTAACTTGTGAGCGAAGAACTTCATTGTGGATTTCCATTCCATTTTCAGTCATCACTTGACCACCCAAGTTGGATGCTAGTTGAGACTGCCTAAAAGCATCATTCTTTGGCAAAACCTGCTGGTGTTGCTGACTTTGCTGCTTTTGTTGATGTTGATGTTGAGTAAATTGTTGCGGTTGGAATTGAAGTGGTTGTTGCTGAAACTTCTGCAGCTGCTGATTAGATTGTAATAAATGATCTCGCATAGGATGGGAAGACTGGAAATTCATCCTTGGTGGATGATCAATATTTTGAGGTTTCACAAGTGCAGTTGATTGCATTGCCGACAAGTTAGATTGATTAGCTACCAAGGGAGAATTGACTTTTGATTTAGACTGCAAGTTAAGTGTGTTGATATTCTGGCTATTCATTGTAGATCCAACAGCTGATGTAGGAGCATAAAAATTTCCTGATCCAGTCAGATCAGCAGTGATCATTCCATATCCATCACCTCCTGAAGGATTCGTTGGCTGCGATAATGCTGTTGCAAGGGAGGAAAGAAAAGGACAAGAAAAGATACCTCTAAGATCCAATGAAAGAAATTGGGATAAGGTGCTCCCATGTGTGTATTGAGTATGTATGCATGAGCATATAAGTGGATATCTGTGTTTCAGTGTGACTGTGTGCACACTTGGGTGAGCTTAGGAATTTAGGGTTTAGGATGCATGTATATGTGTTTGAATGTGCATGCATATTCAAGTGTGTGTGTGTGTATGTGAGAGAGAGAGAGAGAGAGAGAGACCACTTTGCAACAATTGTTGCTGACGATGTGGATCAAAGTGCTGATGGAAATGCTTCGGTGAACTACCATAGGGTGAAGAAGTCAGATAGCCCTCAGATGTTGCAGGCCCATTTATCAATTGCATATTGCTCCCTATCACCCCTGTCCCACTATTTAGAGCTCCATTTGAGAAGGGATAAGACGAAGGCTTCTGCTGCAAGCTAGATCTCATGGCAATTCCTATTTGCCCTCCAAGATTTTGCAATATGCGACTGTTTTGGCCACCAATATATTGCTTTGACTGCTGCAGTTGTGGTACCAGTGTCGATTCAACACCAGAAAACCCAGAACCATTAATAGAAGATTCAGAATTCATCGACGACTGGGTCTTAATTAATCCAGGTGTAGGAATCATTTGACTTTGAATTCTTTGCACACCCATTGATGACATCATATTATTTCCACCAGATCCAATGGAGACACTTGCAGGTGAATGCTGATATCCATTGAGTAGGGATCCTGCACAAGCAGAAAATGTTACTGGGGAAAAAACGCAAACTGCATTTTAATCTATGGAATCATAGAACTGTAAGTACCATCAGATGCATTGAAGGAACCGCCATGTATGCCAACAGCTGATCCATTGGCTATTGGAAGCATGCTCCCTGTGTTGACAGTATTGGTTGTGATGCTACTACAAGCACTGACAGAAATCAAGGAATTGTCCACAGAAGATGCAACCATCAAGTTTGAACTTCCACTTTGCGGCATACCAGGGGTTGGTATCATTGTACCAACAGAGGAGGAGGAAGAAGTGTGCTTTAACTGTTGATCATGGTTACCAGTAGGTGTACGTTTAATCACAGTTTGCAAGCGGTGTTCTAATGTATCCATGTTCATATATTCCTCCTGATGTTACAAAGAAACATACCAGTCAGGCAAGATATACATAGAGACAGTGGCTGGTGGCTACTGACTCCTAAGGAACCACAATGCCCCCCCCCCAAAAAAAAAAAAAAATCAAAAAAGGGGAAAAAGGAAAAGAAATACGTGAACCTAAAATCCTAATGGTTTTGATCCAGAAGTCAGCTCTACCATATGACCAAAAACTGAAACCCATGTGCCCTCCGCTAAGCTTTTATGTTCCTCAATAAATCAACTCCAAGAAGCTATTAGAAAAACGACAATGCAATCGTAATTGAAAAGCTCAATCCTCCTAAACCAAGAAATTTGAACATAGTACAGCAAACCTTTGAGGTAGCATTTTTCAATAGAAGCTCTTCCAAGCGCTTTGCAATACCCGGCATCCTTGTCTGCATTTCATGATTTGTTGGCCGCTGCAGGAGAATTTGACAACTGGGAAAAGCATAAGGAATAATTAAGCAAGTAAGCTTCATTATATAACATTATTGTCTTGTTGTTACTGTATTTCCAGTTCTGCTTTATGCTCTTTAGATTGAAAAAAGTAAAATAGACACAAGAAATATTTGTGAAAAGAATCAAAAAGCAAAACATCGTGTTCTTTTAAAGAATACAATTTGGTGTGGGCTACCTGGTTAACCATGTATAGCAAGTGTCATTGTGTATGTCAGCCCATACCACACTATATATCCCCAAAAACAATAGCTAATGAGTTATTTTGATTTCTCAAATGGATAAGGGTAAAAAATGAAGGCCTTTTGGTACATGATGCATTTCCTGTTGACACTCCAGTGAGCAAAAAATCCCCCCCCCTCCATTTTTTTGTAATGGGCTACACAACAGGGGGTAGCCCTCCCCCAAACCCCTAGACCTCCCCAACCCAGGTGAAGGCAGGACTATTTCCCAGGTCTCCACTAAAACCAGCTAGAGACTTTACCAGCAGGCTAGGCTGACACCTTCAACAAAAAATTTTTTGGTAATCAATAAAAAGAAAAATTTATTCACCAAATACCAAAAAAAAATACAAAGAAAATTTTATTAATATAAATAAAAAACAGTACATCTGGAAGTGATGAGATATCACTGGAGTACAGCCTTCCAAGAAAGAGCAAAAGAGGAAAAAAATACAAGGGAGAACAGCAACAAAGATGCATAGGCCAAAAACAAAGAAACAAAGAAAAACAAAAAAACATATCAAGCCAGCTGCAATGTATTCCAAAATCCATATATAGAAGAAGTTTTATGCTATAATCATAATCTAAAAGTAGCTACTATTCTCAATTTCTTATGGCAAATTTCTCAAAAGAAGTAAACTGTTCAATTACTAGCAAACTGAGACCACTTACATTCTATCTTGCACAAGTTTCCGTTCCCTCTCAAGATCAGGATCCACATTGCAAGTACCATGAAAACCAGCTAGATTTTGTATTGGAGAAGATAGAGAATTTCCGTTTTGCTGTGATATGCCAGACAACTGAGAACCACCTTGACTGGGTATCTGCCCCGAGATCATTCCCGAAATACGAGCCTGTACATTCATCTTTTCTCTGTATACTTCTAAATATGAAGTACATCAACACTTAGATTTTCACATCTCCCCTTGGGATATCCAACACCTTGCAAAGCTAGTAATGATATCAGAACAGTGTAATCCAAAACAAAAGGATAGAGACCAAACTAACAGCACCATTAAACCCACTTCAGATAACCAATAACCTTCACTGCTTCATCATCAACCAATGTTCAAGAGTACATACGGCTCCTTGAATTTGCAAATAATGAACCCTGTGAGGAATACAAGGCAATAATCAAGTAAATATTTAGCCTGGAGCAGAAGATACTATCATCTTGCTGTCCTTGCTTGCTCTCATCCTTCTTTTTGGATTTTCTTTTTTTGTCATGTTTCCAAACTTCTGTAGAATTGCATTTTTCAATGAAGATACAATTATTGTTATTGAAATATGCAACTCTACAGCTGTTTGGAAACATGACAAGAAAATAAAAAAAAAAAAGGATTATAGCAAGCAAAGACCGCAAGAAGATAAACAATATGAGCAAGTTGCTAATGCAATATAAGGAGGAAATAAGATGATCAAACATAGGATTACATGTTCAACCAATCACATAACACAAATCACATGTATTTCAATTTTCACGATTGTGATCCAATCTGTATTATTAAAATTCCACTCCAGAAGAAAATAGTCAGTCAACTCTAAACTCTGGATTTCAGAATTATAAAACCAAAAGTTTCAGAGTTAATCTTTTTTTTTTCTTTTGGGAAAGTAAACAACAATACTACCACAAGTTAATATCAGTACTATAAAGTCCAAATGAATTTAAGTGTTTTTACTGAAGCTTTTTACCTTTCCCATTGAGCTAACCATCTATCAAGAGTCATTCAATTATGTGGATATTCAACATCCATGGATGTTTAACCAGGATCCACCTAAAATATATGATTTATAAGTTAGAATCTTCTTATGGGTCATTTGACAACAACAAAGTGGTTGAACTGGATAAGTTATTGCTTTGCCTTTTGTGGATGAAATGATTGAATAATCCTAATCAAACATATAGTTATCAACCCAACTTCAGTTTCAGCAAGTTAGGAGCTCACAACCTCCTTAACAACTTATTCGATAAACGACAGAGCAATAACCCATTCAATTCAGCAAATTCAGATGTTATCAAATTTTAGTTCTCAGTTAAAGTTCTGTTAGTAGTTTGGGTTAAAAAATCTAAGAAATAATAGTTCTAGTGAATTATATGTTACCAAATGAATTTCAACTGCAATAAATAAAAATCTAATTTACAACAAATGAATGATCCAAAGCAATGAAACAACTACAACTTATAACATCAAAGAGAAAAGTTAAATCCAACAATAGAGTGGAATGCAGAATAGGATTCTTCTAGTGACCCCTTTCTTGTGTCAAATATTAACAAAGGGCCATTCAGGGGAAATTTTGGTAGTCCATGGTCAACAGCCTTAGGCTGTCAATAAGGCTCTCCATGCATGGCATGTTAGTTCACACAGACTACTTGCAACGGTATCAGTGCTAGATGCATTGTTGGGCAAACTAATGTGTCATGCAGGGAGAGCCCTGTTAACAGCCCAGGCTGTCAACCATAGACAGCCAAAGTTTTCTCCATTACCCAATGTTGGTCCAAGCTCTCCAGGGTATTAGGAAGGGTGGATTACCTACCCTTTGACATTCTTTGCACAAAGGGGCCACTCTCAGACTTGAAGCAATGTTCTCATGATTTTGGAACCATTGAGGTTGTTTATTCAAAGTCATCCAATTTTAGTGCAAATGAATCTGTTTCCCTTCAGGCCTCAAACAGCCTGGCATGAAGCCACTAGCAACGATGTCCTACTATTGGCTAGCCCATTCTAGTTAAATCAACCCAAGGTTCAGAAACCTGAATCATAACATAGCTTCCACTAGTTAGCACTTCCTATGTAACAAAACGACCCTACCTGCTACCTTCCTATCAACTCCTCCATCTTCTCCCTCAAATCTACTCCAGAACATATATTTAGAAAATGAGCAACTTTTTTAACTAAGGCAGTTTAAAACACATAAACGGTAAAATTTTCATAAACAGCGAGTTAAGATGACCATATCTTCATGATTACAATGTAACAGCCACATTTTCATGCTAACCCTGCATCCAAAATCTACATCCACCACCAATGGATGAGACAGATCCCAAAAAACAGCATCGCGTCAATAGCATGAAGAGGAAAGAATAGTAACATTGTTTCACAAATCAAACTGCAACCGAACTGAATTCTCCATATTCACAACCAAACATAGAAGCCATAAACTCGTAAGTTACGAATTAGTAACACAAAATACCTGTGCCACTCGCCGTTCAAGGAAGCAATTGACTTACGTTACTGCACTTCGACTCCGGCAACACTAACACTACAATTGGCCACAAAAATCAGTGCAAGTCAAAAAAGCCGAACAAAGTCCAACAACGTCAATTAAATTCATTAAGATCACAATTGAAACTCTGCAGCAATTGGAACCTTTTTAGTGAAGGCATTAAAGCACGCAACCAGGCCGAATCCACGAGAAGCTCCGGATAGTAGGCTAGAGTTCAAGAAGAAGAAAGAAGCCCCAATTAAAGAATACCAAATTGACAGGAGAATCGAAACCCTAAGAGACCCTAGGTTATGATCGCAATGAATCAGAAACCCTAGGGTGCGAGAAAGGCACGAACCTGGTACGGCCGGAGAGACGAGAGCGTAACGGAGATTCGGTTGAGCTCGATGGCCGCGATCGAAGCTGGGGTAAGAAGAATTCAATACAAATCAGATAGGGGTGACCACTGCCCACCGCCCACCGCCACGAGCGAATTCGCGCGCACGGAATCGGAACGACGGAATCGATCGGAGGATATAGGAATCTGGGCCCTGTTAATTGTAATTACGAAAAGGGGGAAATTTTGAGTTCGAGCTCTGAAGTTGCAATTTTGAATCGAAAAAATAAACAGAATTGGGTCTGTAGCGGGTGGGTCGGGGGGAGGGGGGACGAGCCACCGCCGTTGGAAAAACACGTTAAAAAAAAAAAAAAGGATAAAAATATGAAATTTTCTATTTTCTAATTATTTGTGTATTTTTTTATTTATCCATGTCCCATATCTCTCTTGGCTTTGGCTTTGGGTTTTTCGGGTAAGAGAATGGATTTCTTGGAGACGAGGACGACGGATGTGTAGTTGCACCACAAAATTTCTCACGAATTTACTAAATTACCCTTTCTTTAAGTCTAATTTTGCATATTCTGATATCAATATTCAATGGTATATCTATGTATATACATCAAAGAAAAAGAGGTATCAAACTATCAATAGGTAAGTCCGCTCCGCTATAACTATTACGCCGGGAGCTAACTTCCTCAAAGTCAGAATCACCTCACTTTGGACCTATTGGTGGTTGGTCACTTGGTGCCCCGACCGGCTGTTGGCTCTTTTCGTCCATTTTAGCTTTTGTACATGGTAAAAATGAACTTTTGGGTATGAAAACCCTTGAACTTTATAACAAAAATCATTTTGGCTGCTTGGTTGCACCGAAATCATAATGCAAATGCATGGGATGGGAGTGTAAATCTCAACCGGGCAAATCTGGTTTAGTTTTGCATTGACATTTGTACTTGTCTTCTACGATTGAGGGTGGTCAATTAATAAAACAATTTTGCACTTGTTTGTTTGAGTTGTAAAAAAATAAGTCAGCAAATAAAATGAAGAGCGTTGGTTCTTATTAACCTTTTTCTTCTGTTTTTTATCCTGCCAAGATATAGGTTGATATATGCATATGTACCACATGTGGGACCAAAATCCACGTCAAAATGCATAGCCATCAATACATTTTATATGTGGACCCCGCTTATAACACACATTTATTTAGTTTATAAAAACCGGTCTTGCAATCCTAACTTTATCCCTATAGGATCTCTTGTGCATATGTACCATGTTTAGAACCTACATATGCATCAAAGCACGGGGCCATGATAACATTTCAGTGTAGACCCCACCTATAAACCCAATGAACTTATAGACAACATGGTTTTTATGTGGAAAATCAGTCATTTTGATGGATTTATACATCTGTTGGTTGAAATGCAAAACTGTTGAATTGGGGACCAAAGATGATCCCCTCCATATCTATTGGAGATGTACATAACGAATTCGTATGAGGTGGGATTGATATGACAAATGGTTTCTTAGCCATTATGAATGCATTGGATGAACATTCATGAACTGATGGTTTGTAAGACGAGTATGTTGGTTGAAATGGTGACCTAGTGTTTTGTGGGTGTAGGTGTGGATGTTATGAGGGCTGGCAAGGTATGTGACATGAGTTTGCCCCGGCTTGAGATAATAGTCGATCCATCTTGAAACCCAAAGCAACCATCATTTGTTTTAACTCTTCAAACTCTTGACGGGTTACAAACCGATCGTTAGCAGGAGTATACATTTTTCTAAACAAAACACCAGGCCAAAGAAGTTGAACTTATGATGCAAGATGGATGGAAAAGGAGATTGTGAAAAAATTATTTCATAACAAATGATTTTTTTAGCACAATTGAGTAATCTAATAAATGGTCACTTCTGTTATTTTCATTAGAGAGCATTGGCAGCATGTCCATAACCTTTGGCTTAACCTCATTTGGTTCTTTTCTTTCTTACATTCCCCTTTTTTTATGTTTCATCCTAAGGAGCATAGAACCTCGAAGAATAGATACCACATGCATGAAACAATATGAAATGAAAACCTATGTATGTGTGTACTATTTATGGAGTGAATGAAATCCAATAAAACATACTATGAATGACATGACTGATGTAGGGTAAGACCTATCAGGGAGACAACCTAGGGTTGTTTAGCAGGCACGAAGAAGTATAGAATTAAAAGGTGAGATCAATGAAAGGATGATTATTTCACTTTATTAAGATACCTTTTTTTTTATTTTATTATCATAGTCGAACCCAAGCACCACTGCCCAGGTTGCCTACGTACCCCATTGTGAAGGATCAAACTGAGCGTAATTTGGGTTATTTACAACTTCAAATATAAGCAAGAGGAAAATGAACACAAAAAACAAATGATCAAAACTCGCAGTATGCCGTTAAGGCTAAAAGATTCCACTGTCGATAAGATTCTTGATTGCAAGTCAGAGATGAACACACTTATCGGTAGGATGTCCTGGCATTTGATAAAAATCGTAGAAGTAACTGAGAAAGTGGCATCGGGAGAGGAGTAAGCTTTATCTTAACCCTTTAATCTGATTGAGAAGGAGAAGTAGGACGCTTACGACCTGAATGTTCAACTTGTTGATAATTACCAATGGCAGCTTGTACTTCATTCATTTCCTAATACAGTGGAGGGTTTATAGTCAGACCACAGCTTCTTGATCAAAAGTCATGCTCAATTTTCTTCCCAATAGTAACTATGCCCTTAAAATCATTGAAATCTTGATATTTCATGAATGTAAAGAAAGGTGGCTCTAAGGTGAGCAGTAACGAATTTTCATCGATGTGCATATTCTACAAAACTTTATTCGAGTGTCTTTTGCATGCCTTATATTGTCTCACTCGTCGAAGCCAGATCTATGCCATAATCAAACCACTCCAAAAAAGTTGTAGCCACTTGGTTCCAAGTCTTCTTATTATCTAATTAAAGCGGTGCAAACCATGTTGTAGGTACAAGTTGATCACCACAACTGTAGTAACTCAAAAGGTACTAAACCAACACCACAAAGGTACTTGTGACGATTTCAGGACTTGTCATAAACATGCGATGAGCTTTAAGTCTGCACAAGCTTGTAATGAACTCATAGTCTAAAACGAACATGCGATAAGCACAAAGCCGTCACGAGGCTGCGATGAGCTTAGATTCATCACACATACGCGATGAGCATGAGCCACCGCGAGGCTACGATGAATATAAAGCCCTCACAAACCTACAATGAGTTTAACTTCATTGTAGGTTAGAAATGAGTAAAGAAACATGTGCTTCATTAATAACACGCATGACAAATTGCTTAGTGGATTAGAAAATACGCATGATATAAGTATTGACGTCACTTTCGCCATGTTAGTCTAAAAGACTCGCAAAAGGAAGTAGCACACATGTATTATGAGAATCCTTGGACGAAAGGAAACATCATCCTTGAGATATCTCATAAGACACGTGGTCCCTAACAAATAAACCGAATCCAAGATTCCCTTCTCTAGTGGGAATCAAACACTTTTAGCTCATTCCTTTCGGGACCTCGGGATCTCTCCCTATAAATAAATGTCTAGTTCATAACGAGAACATCATTATATCATTCTATTCACCATAGCCATTAGCCTATCATTTGCTCTCGACTTTCCTTTGTCCTTTAAGAAGACCCATGTACGTTGCCTTACCACCCTACTCACACATGCTAATGCTTCACCCTCCAAACTCCATTAGAAAAGTTGAACGAGGACTCTCTCATCTGCCCCAAGCTGAAACATGTATCCACAATATGTGCTTAGATGCATTATCGGACAATCCCTTCCATTTTATTTCGCAACATTTGGGATTCTAATACCTTTTGGTATCTCTAACATCAGGTGGCATAGGAGGGGACTGAATATGCTTTAATTTCTCTAGATCTTGCTTTAATTTGACTATATCTTCACAAATGGGAACTACACTTAGTGACAATGCTGTGCTTGCTGAATGCTGGTGTTGATCACCTGCTTCAATGTAAGATTCTATGGGATTATCTGATTTCGATAACATGATATCCATTGTATTGGATGTCTTAACACTCTTGGAATTGGATGCTATGGTCATAAAGAAACTCTTTTGGTTCAACAATGATGGTTTGCAATTTCTTTTTTTATTTTTATCATTTGTTTTTTGCTCTTTTTGGTTTTTATTAAAAACTAGACAACTAAAGGGAATGAGAAAACTGCTAAGTGCTATGTAGTGGGAGGTTTTGCCTAATACCACTAAGGTGGGATATGAAAAATGCTAAATGTATGTGAAAACCATGCAATGACAACAAAATATTGAGAAAATAACGGTAAAAATGGCTTGTCCCTAGTTCGAAACCAAATGGAGTGAACACTTGAGTAGATAAAGAAATATGCATAAAGATGGGAGTGGTCCAGCTACCTATGAAGATGGTAGGCTGCTATGAATTGGCTATCTAATAAAAGAGTCTAGGGGTATTAATGGAAAGGTGGGTGTTAAGGAGTTGAGTGTGATGGATGTAGTTTACTAGGTTCCGTTTGCGTTAGAACGAGAATGAGCAAAATAGGGATGGTAAGGAGAAACAGTTTAGGACGGTGTTTCAAGATTGCTCTATGGCTGGAAAAGCCACTAATGCCTCTATAGCCGACTAGGTTGAAGGAAATGCAAAATGTAGTACAATGCAAACAAAGTGGACCTCTATTGTGAGAAGCACAAAAAATAAGGAAATATTTTCAAAACATACTAGAAAAACTAAGGAAAAACCTGATTCATATTAAAATACTTGCATTAAGAAATCTATTTCGATTACCACTAGTTTGAGAGGAAAAACTCATATTATTATTTCAATTCCGACTTTAAGGAAGAACACAGTCATTCAACAATAACTAGCACACATATTTTTTTTAACAACCCATAACAACATATTTGCATTATTTTATCTATATTCACTTCACACATCATACTACCTTTCATTGTCATTATTTTTTTTCTTTCTTCTCTTTCATCTTCAGTATTTTTCATTATTTATTTCTTTATCATCTTTTTATTTGATTTTTTTTTATTTTTTCCCTTTTTTATATTTATCTTTGCTATTTATTATTTTAAATCTCCCTTACTCCTTCCCTCTTTCTTTTCTTTCTCTCTCTCTCTCTCTCTCTCTCTCTTTTTGTTTTTTTTTTTTATAATTTTATCCTTTTCTTTTCTTCTCTTCTTTTTTTATTTCTTTTCATTGATTTTTTTTTATTTATTTTCTTAACTTTGTTATTTTGCTTTATTTATTTATTTATTATTTAACTTTTCATTATATTTTATTTTTGTTT